AAATACTTTATAAAGATGTTTTACTGTGAAAAACTGGATATTTAATGTTATTAAATACTTTATAAAGATGTTTTACTGTGAAAAACTAGATATTTAATGTTATTAAATACTTTATAAAGATGTTTTTACTGTGAAAACTAATTCGAAAACAAAAACTGTGGATTTGACATTACGATAAATTATGAGGAAATTCTCACATTTTCCTTTTTTCTTTTGTAGTGTATTTCTTCTTAGATTGCTGCAAGACTTTTAATATTAAACAAAGGATCATAATCTAAATTAAGTTTTCTATTATAGTTATAGTGTTAAAACATATTAAAATGGCAATCTTATCAGTATATGCAAATATATTATTTTTTATATACACAACAGCTTCCTCTCTGGACAAAATGTAAACGTTCGCCATTTTGTTTCTGTTGACCCCATTGACCTGAAATTCTATTTCTTCTTCGGCTTTTTCCTCTAGCGAGGGTTGCCATCCTTCACACGTGTTGCCCTCCTCCCATAATCCCTTTTCATTGCCAGACATTCTTCTCCATATTTGTTTTTCGAGATTTTAACAACCGGGTTGTAAGCCCTGACGACAACCCTCCTCCTTTCTCAACATAGGTCTGAAATTGATGTATGAAATATATTTTTCCTATGCATTTAAATAAGACGCTATTTGAGTACTAACTCTAGTTCTGACTTTTGGTCAATGATCTTGCCAGTCTCTCTTTCGCGTTTTACTAAATATTACAGCGGGTGAAGTATATTTCTTTCTTCGATGATTTTCCAGGTTGATGGCTCTACAAGTATTGCCTCTTCCAAACTCGACGACATCATGCCTAAATTCCCACCAATATATCCTCGCAAGTTGACGGCTGAAGAAGAAATTCTCATGTGGCAATTTCTCGATCCAAATTGGCCTCCGAAGGACGAATGTGTAAATCATATCAAATCATTTCCTCAAGTCAAAGATTTCCCTTCCCTCTTCATGTCAGCAAGAAACAAAGGATTTGAGTAAGTCGACTATCAACTGTACAAATGTTTAACGACATGACCAAAAAAGGTCTTATTCGTTAAAAAAAAATAAAGTTTTATTAATAAGTAAATACTATCATAACGACAACAGTGAAAAATTAACCCAAATGCCGAGGATAATAAATCCAATAAACATCAGTGGCCTCTGTGGCATGCAATATATTTGTCAGAGTAAAACGTTTTTTGTTGTTGTTTTTTCTCACAATAGCAGTAATTGGTTGAGGACTAAAATTGCAAGCAGCTATGGGAAATTTTATCTACCGGATCCATTAAACATTAGTGTTCGTTTGTTTCTTTCGAAATGTTAATAATAACATTGATTGTATTAGTATTACACTGACATTTTTGTAAAATATTATATAAGTACTAAAGAGATATAATTTTAAGTGGAATTAATAGATGTTTAACATAGCAGACGTATTGTTTCTTATCAAGGAAAGCTGCTACACTGTGGAATTAATAGATGTTTAACATAGCAGACGTACTGTTTCTTATCAAGGAAAGCTGCTATACAGTAAAATTAATAGATGTTTAACACAGCAGACGTACTGTTTCTTATCAAGGAAAGCTGCTATACTATGGAATTAATAGAAATTTAACATAGCAGACGTACTGTTTCTTATCAAGGAAAGCTGCTATACAGTGGAATTAATAGATGTTTAACATAGCAGATGTTCTGTTTCTTATCAAGGAAAGCTGCTATACTATGGAATTAATAGATGTTTAACATAGCAGACGTACTGTTTCTTACCAAGAAGAGCAGATAAGTCATGAAGTTAATAGAGAATATTTAATAAAACCGAAAAAATATATCGATATCATTTTAACTAAATAAGTACTTGTATAAGTGACTCCAACGCTAACTGCAATGCTAATTATATTTTGTTTGATTTTTTCATGTGAATCGTATGTTATTAGGGACCTTGTAATCAACTAAGCAACTAGTGCAATAACTGTTTGTTTTTAAAGGCAATGGGGTTCATATGGCCCTCATCAGTAATTTTAGGGTTAATGCCCGATGGAAATAGATATGTTGTGGAAATAATAGATAGTGCTTAACATAGCCGAGAGTAATGTATAAATCATCTTTAATATTATGTGTTTGTCTCTTAAATTATATTAAAACTGTCTGCTCATTAGCAAGTATTTTTCATATATAAAGTATAGCAGCTTTCCTTGATAAGAAACAGAACGTCTGCTATGTTAAACATCTATTAATTCCACAGTATAGCAGCTTTCCTCGGTAAGAAACAGAACGTCTGCTATGTTAAACATCTATTAATTCCACTGTATATCTGCTTTCCTCGGTAAGAAACAGAACATCTGCTATGTTAAACATCTATTAATTCCACTGTATAGCAGCTTTCCTCGGTAAGAAACAGAACGTCTGCTATGTTAAACATCTTTTGTTAATTTCATAGCGTATCTGCTTTCCTTGGCGAAAAACAGAACCTTGGGCCAGAGGATGAACATCCATTGCCATGGTACCCACCCTTGTGTGACAGAATACTTCCTTTAGATCATGTTGATTTTCTGGATACTTTGAATTCGGTGAAAAATAGAGACAGGTTGCCGATCAATATTCCAGATCCTTCAATACGAACAGTAAGTTGTTTCAGAGATGAATATACCATACAAATACTTTACAAATTGATGAAACTTGAATACTCTGCCTAAAAAAATACTTTACAAGTTCCTTATAAAAATATGTGATATCAACAAAATCCTGTAATCAACATACCGAATTTTCTTATAATGCATATGTTAATTCTAAATTATTTTTGTTACGATCTGTACGGTCAGAAGTTCTTAATAGTTGCCCAAAAATATTAACGTTATTTACACCTAAGTAGTTTAAAACGGAATATTCCTTCTCGACATTTCTTCAAATATTGCTCATATCTTTGCAGTTTCTTCTTTGTTAAAAGTAAGGATTTTCTTTTCCTTGTTTTTAGGGTTTGTTTGTTTGTTTTGAATTTCGCACAAAACTACACGAGGGCTATCTGCCCTAGTTTAGCAGTGTAAAACTAGAGGGAAGGCAGCTAGTCATCACCACCCACCGCCAACTCTTGGGCTACTCTTTTATTAACGAATAGTGGGATTGATCGCACATTATAACGCCCCCACGGCTGAAAGGGCGAGCATGTTTGGTGTGACGAAGATTCGAACCCGCGACCCTCAGATTGCGAGTCGAGCGCTCTAACCACCTAGCTGTTTTTAGGGCAAAGCTATACAGTGAACTGTCTTTGCTTTGTCTGCTGATTTTTAGCGTTATAAGCTTTGAAGGTCACTGCTAGGACATTGAAGGACAAAATACCTGCAAAATACGATTTCTAGAATAATACAAAAGAATTCTAATCGCAGACACCGAAATATATAAGCCCACTAACATTAGCTAAGCCTTTAGCACGGTCTATCTTCTACTAAGTAAAGCAAAGTGTGTGTCGGGGGAAAAATACACGGTCGTATATTTATCATTTCATATCTGTTCCTTCTTGATCAGTCATCACCAAACTTGACACAATGATATAGGATGACATGAGGAAGATCATGAAGGGGATGGGGATTGGACCCCCATCTAATTTCGAAAAACTACCAATTCAGCCCAAATTGACACAGTGATACAGGATAACACGAGGAAGGTCGTGAGGGGGGTTGGCCCCCATTTAATTTTATATTGATAGAATTCTTGAAAACAGTATGTCTTTCTTTTCAGTATTGGTACTTTTATGTGTTTTTACTGCACTTTTAATGTTTATTACATTAAGAAAAAAGATGAAGCAAAATTTATTATTCTTTGTTACAAACGAGTTTTTATTTTCCCCGTCTGTTGGATGGTTACTCCAGTTAGTGTTCGATAAAGAGATAAATTAACACTGTAACTTGTGTACGTTTTTTGCTTTATTTAGTTTAGTTAGGGCTAAACTTTACCGTACTTAACACCATAAATCAACATTTCCCAAAGTGAGGAGCGCGCCTCCAAGAGGGCGCAACATGATCTCTTCGAGAGGCGCAAGGTACAGATAATAGTGCAATAATGAAAAATTCAGTGATTTAATATATTTTCGTTAATGAAAATAATAATTAATTACTACAATACATATATCATTTTAACGCGTAACAGTGTATTACATCTCGTCACTTAACTCACTCTTTTACTCATTTAGAAAAGAAGGGGGCGCAAGAAACCATATTTATAAAGAGGGTATGGATGAAAAAGTTTGGGAAACGCTGCTATAAATAAATATACTTATAATGTTATTCTACGACGTAACGTTAAACCCTTTTCAAAAATTTGATAAGCTTTTAATATGCTGTTGTACAAAATGTTTATTAAAGTATATTTACATCTGCCTTTTCTTTACATGCAGCCCCCCAGTGGCAAAACGGTGTGTTTCAGGACTTACAACGCTAGAAACCGGGTTTCGATACCCGTGGTGGGCAGAACAACTAGCCCATTGTGTAGCTTTGTGCTTAACTTCAAACAACCAATTCTTTATATCCAATGAAATGCGCGGACATTTTCAGGGCAGATAAAAAACTAGGTATTATTAAAATAGATGAGCCCGGCATGGCTTGTTGGTTAGGGCGCTTAACTCACAATCTGAGGGTCGCTAGTTTGAATCCCCGTCCCACCAAACATGCTCACCCTTTCAGCCGTGAGAGGCGTTATAATGTGACGGCCAATTTCACTATTCGTTGGTAAAAGAGTAGCCCAAGAGTTGGCAGTGGGTGGTGATGACTAGCTGCCTTCTCTCTAGTCTTTCACTGCTAAATTAGGGACAGCTAGCGCAGATAGCCCTCGTGTAGCTTTGCGCGAATATGAAACCAAAACCTATTATAATAGATGTAGTATAGAAACACCAATACTCCAGCTTCTCTTCCCCTCCCTCTCCTTCCACGTTGATGCTGGAGTAAGAATAACTGAGAACAACGTGACGTTAAAGATAAAATATAGTCATCGTATAACATTTTGAATACACAATTTACCACAACAAAAACAAACACCTTTGGTCAAAAGTTCAGTGCACTTTATGTATTTCATTCACCTTCGACGAAGGTAGTTTGTCGAATATATTTAAGTGATATGTGTTGTTTTTTCCAGGATTTACTTTAACAATGTTCCCTGCCACCCGAGTTATTACCATTTAGCCTTCTTCTTGTGTAATGTCCAGTACATGTAAAATATGTTTTGCGTATGGAAGATAATTGTAAACAAATAAAAGATGGAACAAACCGTAACTGACAGTCAAAGCTTCAATTCATTTAAATAATAAATTCTATCCGAATCTACAGCGTGCGTTTGAATATTAAGTAATAAAGCTTATATTTGAAAGAATTGTATTGTTAAAATAATTAACTGCTACCTGTAGTAGACAAATGTTATATCCAAGTTACAGACTGAAATAACAAAAGTTAAGATAAAAAATAAAATAATTGTAATTATAGGCGCCATCATTCATCTTTGGTCGTAGTTCTTCTTTACATTTTCTGTCAGTGTAGTAGGTGGCTTTGGTAAATATTTGCTCATAGAATGGTGGATTCATGACAGGTGTTGATAATAGGTAGGCAACAACGAGTTATAAGCATAAGGAAAAATTTATTGATAGTAGAACATACTACATGTTTCGACAGAACACTGATCTGTCTTCTTCAGGTGTTATTTGTCCATGATTAGTTAACAAGTGATCTGTAACTGCGCTTCTTTCATGTTGGTCTTTATAAAGAGAGTCAATGTGGTCTTCTGTCCTTGTGTGTAGGATTCTTCCGGTTTCTCCAAAGTACGTATGGTGGTAGATGTCAGATATTAGTTGGTAAACACATTGGAAATAAGACATCCATCTTTAGACTGCAAATACGTTTTTGTAAGACAGTTGGATTTATTACATTGTAAGGTAGTGTACTGAGGTCTTGAAAGCTGGCTTTTGAGGGTGGGACCTGGCCGTTCTTTAACGTTAATTGGCAGTTGAGATTTCTTGATTATAGCTTTTATTTTCTTTGAAATAATTTTATCAATTAGAAGTATTGTAAAAGGTATTGTTCGTAGTAAGCAAAGGTTTAGTCTTTGCTCTATTTTCATAGAAACGGTTTCATCGAATAAAATAAAAAGTTTGTTCAAGAGAAGCCAACGTAGAAAGTTTAGTTGGAGCTGCAAATCTAGGCCCTTTACTTAATAGGTACAAGGAGAAAGTAGAGATCGCGAGGTCTTTTTCTACTGTTACTTTTTTTACTGTTGTCATGTTTTCTTGGTAGTTATTAACATTTGTATAGAAAGTATCTGATGTGGTGGTTTGTTCATCATACATACTTCTTCATTTCTTCTCATGTCTTGAACAACATTCTTTCATTTCTGTACATGTGATGTCTGATTTAATGTTCACGAGCCAAGTGTAGAAACTGGGAAAGTTTTCTTGGGAGACAACGTTTAAAATTATTAAGTTTTGTTGAACTAGTCTTAGATGCTTATATTTATTTGCAAAGAACGTTGTTATGAAGTCATTCATAATGGAAAAGAGAAACCTAACCAACTTTTTCTGATTTTCCTTGAAATAATCTGGTAATTTGAAATTGTTCCAAATGTCTTTAAGAACAATCTTATAACGACGACATTAAGTCAGGAAACCAACCTCAACTGTTATTGTTCTTGTGAGTTTAAGAGTGGGAGTTAGGGTTAGCGAGGTTGCAAATATAGGAAAATAAAAAATTTGGTATTATACGGTCGTCTATTACTAGTATTAAAATGTATTTTATACACCAATATTCACTACAGAAATTAAACAAAAAATGTAGCGACATGTTTTTGCATAAGAAATGGATGTTTCAATACTTATTATACAAATAGAATATTGAAAAGTTTTTTAATTCAAATTTTTTTGTTTGTTTGAAGTTAAGCACAAAGCTACACAATGGGCTATCTGTGCTCTGCCCACCACGGGAATCGAAATCCAGTTTCTATCGTTGTAAGTCCGCAGACATGCCGCTGTGCCACTGGGATTTTTTTTAATTCAAGATAAAAAATAAGGAGATTTTTACTATAAACTTTAGTCTACTCATTTTTTATTCATACGGGCCCCCAGTAGCACAGCCACTGGGATTTTTTTTAATTCAAGATAAAAAATAAGGAGACTTTTACTATAAACTTTAGTCTACTTATTCTTTATTCATACGGGCCCCCAGTAGCACAGCGGTATGTCTGCGGACTTACAACGCTAGAATCCGGGTTTCGATACCCGTGGTGGGCAGAGCACAGATAGCCAAATGTGTAGCTTTGTGCTTAACTTCTAAACAAATATTCGCACGGGAATATTTTAGGTGTACGTTTAAGGCTTTTCTGAATTTGCAATTTCTTAACAGTTATTAAAGAATATTTACGCCGCTTAAAGTCTAAATTTAACGTATAATTCCTTCTTTAACACTTTAGCACATATCTATTTTTATTTTTTAAAGTACCTGTATAATACTTTTTTTACGTTCATAAAGAGTGAATATTAAATTAACTACAGAAATTTAATAGATCTTTAAATTAATTGCTTCGTGCGGGAAACGTTTTTAACTTTATATGTGTGCGTGGTGTTAGTAATACATTTCCAATAACTTAAATTAGGCAAACTAAATTTTATTAGTAATTCTTGATTGGGTTAAGCAGTTTTAACTATATAAAATGTAAAAATGATATACTAAAAATCAAGTGTCTGGAATTATTAAATTTGTAGTTTTTGTTCATGATGTATTAATATCTGCATGATCAAATTCCAGACAGTAAAGCGAAAAATAAGTTTGTGAGGTCAAAAACGAAAATATTTCCGTCTGCGTGCATATTTTTTAAAGAGCTCGAACACTCAATTTTATTGCTATAAGTCCTGTAGTTCACCGCTGAACCATTGGCAGTTATATTTTCAAAGAGCTTATACGAATATATAAACATACTGTAGGCCCATTTTTTTTTTTGTTTTGTTATTTCTTGCAAATTTAACTTATAGATTTTAAAATTAGTCTTCTCATAAACGAACGGGGATACAGAAAATAAACAGTAGAACAGTATGAGTGCGTTGAAACACAAAGTAATTGGAATAAACACTATTAATTACAACTATTAAGAGTACAAAACGGTAGCACTTTCTGGTTTATTTCCACATCCACGTAGTTGAGGGTAAAAATACAAACTAACGATTGTAGGCCTTAGTGGCCATTACAAAAGTACAACGGCAGAGAAATTTATTATAATTAAAAGTGAAATTGGTCTATAATTTTCCCATCTTTTCTATTTCACAGTGTTTATATATGGGTTGAATTTTAGCACTAAGTACTGGGAATACGGTTATTAAGAATGTAAAAAAGAAAGTAGATATGTCTCGTTGGGTTTGAATAAAAGCACATCTCTCTTCCACACACAGACATGAATTAAACATTAAACTTTTTAGAATGTTCATGATGTTTTATCAAACATTCAAAAAAATATCATAAGAATTATTAGTACCAGACTTTATGGAAATGATTTGTTTGTTTGTCGTTTAAGCACAAAGCTACACAATGGGCTTATGAAAAATGAGCTAAAATAATAATTTTTAAGTTCACATAATTAATTGGGACATTGAACATTAAAGCAAACAGAATAATTAATGCGCCTATTTTTTTCTCTTTTGAGAGTCCCCTGGTGGAACAACGGTAAGTTTACGGACTTACAACGCTGAAATCCGCGGTTTGGTTCCCCCTCGGTGGACATACCAGATAGCAACATCTCTAGCGAAAATTTAATATTATTATTTTTTTATAAAGTTTTCATTATTACTTGTAAGATTTATAATATTTATCTTTTTTAGAAGATAAAAGAGAGAAATCCCAACAAAACTAGGGGTTGGTTATGCTCAGAAATTTTATTCATTATGAAGTTTCTTTACTTATTACATGTCCCCAGCAATTGGAAGTATTATAACACCAATATACAGGTGTTCTCTGGTGAATCAGCGATAACTTTACGTACTAATAACACTAAAATCTCGGGCTCGATTCTCAGAGTAGATAGAAATCAGGTGGTCCATTGTGTAGCTTTGCGCTAACATAACAACACTTATACAGGTAATATACATGTAAGCTTTTTGTGTTCTTTATTTGTACTTATAAATTTCTTTTATAAAGGCTTTCCTCGAAGAAGCTGCAAGTTTCAAACCTAAGGAGGAAGAAATTGGTCAACGTATATTAACAGCACTAAAACGGGTATGAAGTATGAATCATTTCCCAAAGATAAGTTTAAGTTAGTTTTTTATGATAAAAAGTCTTGCAAAAAAAGTTTGAATATCTGAATATTCGAACATATCTATACTATCAGAATATGATGTGGATATGAGTCACAAAAAAAAATATTTTTCTAAACCTGCTGAAAAATGATGGTCATCTCTAAACTTCTTGCGCAATCATTATCACGTCCATTCTAAGGAAATATGAAAACAAGTATACAACACTGAAGGTTAATGAACTTTTTCGGTGATGATGTTTTCGGTGTCGTGCTGTCTTGAACTATTTCTTCCATCGTTATTCTTGCTCAGTCTGATGACCCTGAGGGTCTGGCATGGCAATCTGTGGGTCGCGGGTTTGAATCCCCGTCCCACCAGACATGTTCGCTCTTTCAGCCGTAGGGGCGCTATAATGTGACGATCAATCCCACTCTTGGCGTTGGGTGGTGATGATTAGTTGCCTTACCTCTAGTCTCTCACTGCTAATTTAGAGACGGCTAGCGCAGATAGCCCTCGTGCAGCTTTGCTCGAAATTCAAAACAAACTGATGACCTTGATTACGCAATAATTCTCGACACCGCAAATTTGGAATCATGCACAAGAATTAGTTTTTACAATTTTGTTTACTCTTACATAATGAGATACATGTATATTATAAAATAGTATACTTACACATGCCTTAGTGGCCCTTGCAAATATACAAAGGGAGAAATATTTGTTATTATAATTTAATATATATATGTTATCACTTTCGCATTTTGTGTTGCTGTCTCTTCCGTCACATATGATATATATATATATACACACAGCGTGGTCACAAGTAAATAGACACCACCTTTTCAGAAAAAATGAAAATTTTCAGTCATATTCACATGAATTGATATATTTATAATTTAATTAATATCTAGTAGATCCTTTCGTTGATCCTTTGGGGTATCGTGAGAATCATCTCGTCAATTCTAGATTGTGGTATTATCACCCACTCTTGCTTCAATATTGGAGTAGATCG